TTTTTTTTTTTTTTTTTTCCAGAACGATAGAAGGATCTATTAACTGAAAGAAACCAAAATACAAAGATAAGTTACACAAAGAGCAAACATGAGAGGCACATCAAAAGATGGCCTAGAGCCTCAACAACAACCAACCAAGAACAAATGAAAACCAGAAAATACAAAGGAATAGCAAATCAACCACTGCCTAAAAGCCTAGTCAAATGCTAATCCAAGAAAGCAAAAAACAGAAACTCAAACAAAGAAGGATAAAAACCAAAGAAAGCTAAGCTGCAGCCTGGAAGTCCCTCCAATCAGACATTGCTGCTTGAATGACAATGTGAGGAGGGGGTATAGAATGCTGAAAAGATTCCTAGTCTTCCAGAGCCACCAAAGGAGGTAAGTGGACAACTGGATCCTCTCCTCTGCCAAGTCTGAGTGATCAATGCTGCAAATGGTTTGCCACCATGTTCTGAATGAGTTCCTGAACTGAGAAAGGCCTGGCCATGAGACTGGTGCATGATTCCAGACTGTACAAGCTCTAGGGCATTGGAGGAGTGCATGCTCAACTGTTTCAAGGGCTTCTCCACAACATCATTAATTGAAGCGATTTAATATTAAAAAATATACATTATTCGATCCTAATTTGAAAGAGTTTGTTGAGAGTAAATGATTCAAACAATAATAATCATCGGTAATTAAACATAAAAAACACTATTTCAATTTCATAAAAAAACTCATTTTTTAGTTGTTTTATTTCCCATAAGAATCGGTTACACGTTTACCCATAAAAATACATCTATAACAACACACTTTGCAAATATCAAAACACCACCATCGAAAGAATGAAAATCCCCTTCGGTGTCGTCTCTGACATTGAAAGAAACAATAAAAGGTAAACATACATATATAGTCACGCAACCAAGGTCAATAGGCTAATAACAAGAAGCGAAAACATGTATTAAATTATACTAATATAAACGAACTAAAGGTGATAAAACCTTTTTTTCCCGAAATTCACCAAACTGTTAATATTTAAAAATAGTGAAATAATAATGATATATAATATTTCAGATAAGGATATTATATAGAAAATGTATATA